CATAATCTGTGTTTTGAAATTATTTTTTACTTTTATTTATAAATGTTGTCTATTTCTTGAGACTTTAAAAAATAAAAATAATAAGAAGTTTACTAATGACTCCATACTGAACCTCATAGTCAAAGCAGTCTATAATAGACATACTCTTATTTGACAATGTGAATGTGACTTTCTTTGCATTATTATTATTATTGCTTAATATTTTGATGCAGCGATCATCTGATTTCTTTTCTGAATGTATTTATCTTCGTTTGTTCTTTATGAGGTTTTTGTTTCTAGTCCTGATCTTAAACATTGTTATTGTTATTAAATTTTTAGCCTTTTTAATTTTGTGAAGGCAAAAAGTGGAAACCTAATAAACACATGTCTATGTAAAAAAAGAAAAGTAAACTTCTAGTTGATTCAAAATAAAGAATCTACTTAAAAAAAAAAAAAAGAAATTTCTTTCTTGAGATGGAATCTGCTCCTAACAGAGATGCCGTGAATATTGCTGAAATGACAACATGGGATTTAGAGTCTTGTATAAACTTAGTTGATAAATCAGTGGCAGGGTTTGAAAAAAATTGATTCCAATATTGACAGAAGCTCTACTATGGATGAAATGCTATCAAACAGCATCATAAGCTGCGGAAAAGTCTTTCATAAAAGGAAGAGTCAGTAAGTGAGGAAAAATTCATTGTTGCCTTACTTTAAGAAATTGTCACAGCCTTCAACCACCTGATTAGTCAGCAGCCAAAAACATTAGATAAGAGTCTCCACCAGTAAAAAGTAAGAACTCACTGAAGACTCAAATGATCATTAGTATTTGGGGGAATAAAGCATTTTTACATTAAACTATATACATTCGTTTTTTAAGATATGATGCTATTGCATACTTAATCTACTATAATATAGTGTAAACATAACTTTTATATGCAATAGAAAACAAAACAAAATGCGTGTCTTGCCTTATTGTGATATTCGCTTTATGGCAGTGATCTAGAACAAAGCCCACTGTATCTCTGAGGTGTGCATTTCAGGGATGCTTGAGACTTTTTAAAAGGCTACTTTTGCTCAAGACCTGGCTGAAATTTTTAAGAACTAGGCTATAATCAGAGACTTTTCATATCTAATCTTCTTCTCTTCCCTTTCTGCTTCACAGCCACGAGATCTGTGTCATGGTCTGAAGATTCTTCCCAATTCTCTAGCTTCTCTTTATCCTTAACAGGTCTTTTTTTCCCCCAATAAATGTCTTATCCATGATCGATATTGCTATAATCACCTGTCTTGGCATCTGTTTAATAGAAATAATTTTGTATTGGATATGCTCATTGTGAGTGGTTGGTTAGACACCTTTGGATAGGCACCTAGACACCCAAAGGAGAGATGCAGGAAGTGAGAGGAAATGTCTTGTCTGAACATAGAAATCTGGTACTTAACCAAATAGCAATGATACTTAAGCCAGGAAACCAGATGATTTTTATGAAGGGAGCAGATAAAAAGGGAATAGAGGAGAATTGAGGAGGAAGCTCTGATTGACTTCCCTAACCGGAAAAAAAAAAAATATGAACATGCCAGTAGGGGTGAAATTAGGAGGGCATGAAGGATGGAAGTGCAGCAAAGGATGCCTTTGAAGCAGAGGTCTGTAACTACCTTTGTAAAATTTGGGTAGTGGTTCTGGCAATATGAAGTCTGAACACTGACGACTAGATTTAGCAGTGATGTGGTCATCGCTGACCTTCAGAAAAATAATTTTACAGGATATGTGGGAGGGAGGGGAGGCTGACATAAGCGATTTTAAAGAAAGAATGACAAAAAAATAAAAACAGTGACTCCAGAGAAGGAAAAAGTGAGTATGGAAAACGCTGTGAAGGAGTTTTGCCTTTAAAAAAAATGACAAGAATTGAGTGGTTTCGAGAGGATAAAATAGATTCGAGAAGTTGGGGGGTCATTTTATAAAAATATTTTAAAATGAAAAGAATTAAATGATGTTTTAGGCTGATAGGAATGTCTGGTAGGAGTGGGGGAAAGGGAAGGTACGTTAGGGAGAGGGGAAAGACTTTCTGAACCAACGCCCTGGAGCTGGAGAGAAATGGTGTGGGCTAGGCAGTTCAGCCCCTGTCATGGAGGAAAAGCGGAGAGAATCAGCACAGATGGAGGTAGGTGGACAAATGTGGGTGCTGGCTCCTGTAAAAACATCTCTTCTCTTCTGGTTCTATTTTCTGAGTGAAAGTGAATCAAAGGGAAGTGCTAGAGGTTTCTATTTATCGCAAGAGAGTGAATGGACTCAGGAATTGCAGGGTGAGATTGCTTGGCTTCACTTGGGGTTGTAGGCATAAATGTGAAATCAGAGTAGTCAGCATGCAGCACCATCTTTTCTGTAAAGCATGATCCGCTTTACAGAGGCAGGCACAAGTAGGCATTAGACTGGATTTAATTAGGGAGGGGGTATTACCAATTGAATGCCAGGAAGGAGGAGAGGGGCAATAGAGTTGAGGTGTGAGCAGGGGAGTGCTTATAGTATAATGTAAGGAAAGGGAGAAGATGAGGATAGTCAGTAGTAGGCGGTCCTAATACCTTTAAAGAAGTACCATGTAAGCAATTGACTGTAGGGTTTATAAGCTCTCCATCTGTAACATTCATATTCTAAGTATCAGTATGACTTAGAGAGAGTTTTGAAGTGGTGATGCAAGGGGAAATTATCAAGGAAAACTTTGGAACACATCAGTGCCCAACCAACATTTTCTGGGACCTGAACTGAAGGATTGATAAGACAGAGATATTAATGGCTAATATTTCAAGATAGGAGGCTTTTCATGTTAACAAAATCTATCACTTGAAATATGTGTCAAAGTAGTAAGCCTGCTCAATTGTAGTATTTTGCTTAGATAACTTGGGTAAACAAACACATTTTCTCCACCAGCTAGTCAAAAGATTTTAATGAAAGTAAAAATTAGATATTAAAACATGGAACTGAGATTGCTATCTTGGTTAGTTCTTTGGGCATACATTATACTTAATGCCACATTGCATTAAAATGATAAATGCAACAATTCCTTATATATATGTATGTACATGTATGGAAAACACACTAACACGTGAATGTGACATGTAACTCATATTACAGATACTTCAGGAATTTCTTAAAATTGCTCTTATGGGTAATCAAACATGGCTTCTGTGCCTTCAAATGTTTTCAGTCAGCATTCTTAGAATAGCTCAGAGAAAAACAATATAGCCACTGTTTTTTTTTTCTAAACATATTAAATATTGTTTTACAGCAACATTGTTCAGGTTCTAAAACATATCTAATATTTTTAAATGATGGGATACAAAATTAGCAAACATCCCGCCTTGGATTTGTTACTGAAATTAAATTTGGTTTGCTTATATGTACATGGGTTATATTTCATATAACAGCACAGTTGACTAGACAATGATATGTGAAAATTTCTTTTGAAATGTCCAAATCTTGACAAACCTTACACAGCTAACATAGCACATTTGTGGAAAGCATGTTTAGGATTGTCCGTGATAGGAAAAAAATACACTTTTTTTTTTTTTTACTTTTTATTTTTCAATTGTTAATTATTTTAAAGATAATGGTTTTCACGTCTAAAAATGTTTATAATGTGTCACCACAACTGTTTCTTAAAGCACCATTCTACTTCTGAGAATAAGCTGATATTTAACTTAAGGCATATTAAACCTCTCCATCTACAAGAACTTGACTGGCCTGCCCATGAAATAAACCCCTCCGTATAGGTGGTGTGTGAAGAGCCAAATCTGTGTCGCTCTTCAGGGTCAGGCAGATTGGCAGTCAGTCCTGGCTCTGCCACCTATCAACTGGGTGAAACTAGGCCAGTGGACACCTTTTAATGTCCCGATTTCATCACTTGTCTTCTTCTCCCACCCTTGAATAGAATATTAGAGAACAGGAGTTGGTCTTGATTAATAAAGGCACACCTCCTGGGTGAAGGATTCAAATACAACTGGGACTTTTCCTAATAAACACAAACGATGTAACCTAATCATATATCCGCTCAAAATAAAATATAAAGCCTCTGTAGCGTCAAGCACACAGAAGTGTCCTTAATAAATTTTCATTGAATTAGTAAATATATAAGATATATGTTTAGGAGAGCATAAATAATTATATAAAAGAGATATTTTGAGGATAAAATGAAATAACATAAGATGAACAGAGTTTTGAATCAGAGTAACCCTTCTTATTGAGGAAAGTTCTAGAAAAGTTGGAAGAAGTTTGCCTTCTGTATTTAATTTCTACTTCTGTTTTAAATTGTGGATAGGATTTATCTTAAGTCTAGAGGCCCTGTGCCATACTCTAGCTCTGTATATGTACGTACTGGAGAAATTATTATTTTTTATTATTCATATCCCCTAAATCTTTTATAATATTTAGGAGAAGTGGAAACAAGCCAAATGCATTAAAGTACTTCAGCACACGATCAAAAACTCATGCCATCATGTTTTCAGGGTTTAAGCATGCATACCAGGAAACAAGAGGTAGTACATGCACTATTTCATTGATTTTAAGATGCATATTTTAAATGCTTGCATATCCAAAATCTGGATGCATTTTACAGTCAATGGCATCTTACAATTGATTGGCACCTTTTTCCCCCCCTTGGTAGTTAATAATGTAATAGGATGTCTTAAAATAGAGTTGATGAGATATGTTATAATCATATATTAAAGTAGTGTTTTTCAATGTTTATTTCTAATTACTACCCATCCCTGGCAAAGAGCCTTTAAGCATTTTTCCTAATATTGTATCTCATAAAATTTTAATACCACAGATATATCTATATGATTATATACTACATGCATATCTGTGATTTATATATAAAAAGAGTAAGATTTTCACTTCCCCAAACTAATTTTTTTCTCCCTTGGGGACTATGTTACAGCCATTAAAAATACAGGTGTTAAAGAAATCCATTGTTTGTTATTTTTAAAATCTCATTTACTAAAATATTGGTACTTACGATCTCGTTCTCAGCTTTAGAGCTTTTGGCTTTAATTATATAACAGAATGTGTAGGAATTTTATAATTAATATGAACGTCAAAATGCTGTCAAAATGCCTGCAAAGTTTGAACATTTGCTGTTTATCCCAACAGTCAGAAAGCTGTCCATAATATTTTTTTTGTTAACAAATAAAAGTTCTTCAAGTTCATCCAGTGATGTCATTCAACATATCATTCTTATTTTATGAAACGAGATTCTTTAATGATTTCTGGGTATAACTTTAAAGTGTTGACTACTTCACTTCTACATGTTCATGACTTTAAAGACATAACTTGAGCAATAACATCCATAAAGAGACATTTGAAACAACATCTTATTTTTGCAAAGTTCTAAGAAATATTCTGCTTTATACTCCTCATATGACACTCAGCAGGAAAAATAAAGACGTTTAGTTTTGAAATCTGTGCAGACGCATCCACTGCAGTCTAAGCCGTTTGGGGCTTCTCACCTCCAATAGTAATGATGGGATGCAGAGCCCAGTTCATTTGTGACCAGTACTTTGCACCAGAAACAAGACAGGGACACAGTCTCTGACCATCAAATAAGGGTTTTCTCGCAAAGCTAATTGTTATATTCGGCATCTTTAACTGATAGAGAAAGGGGTAATTTGTGTACTTGGAGAATATCTTTAAATAGCAAAGTTGTTCAATGTGTTCTTAAATGTTCACTTATCTTTTGTCTGGGATAGGCAGCTTAACTCCTACTTTTTAAAAAAATTGTAGTGCAAACAACTTCTAAAATTTATGATACGTAAAACTTTGTATGTATTTCAATGGTATTATTTCATATTTGACAATTCAAACATGTTTATATTAGTCCAATTGTATTTGGTTACAATCGTTAGCTATTTTTGAGACTCAACTGTACCAAAACAGTGTAAATTATTATAGGGGATGTGAAGTATTCTCGTATACCAACCAACGTATTAGCAAAAATTAAGACGAGTAGTGCTCCAAAGAGATTCATCATAAGGATACAGACATTCATATCACGGTGTTACCAGTGAAATGTACACAGCTTTGTAAATAAATTGAAAATGAATTCAAAACCAGAAATCATCTCCCCCACTGCTCCTAGTGCTTGCTCTTTCTCTGCCTTTTAATCGAAGCATCTCCATGATACTACGGGCATAGACATCTCTTAAATTCACGCTGATGTATGAGTCAGTGGCTATATTCTTGGTGAGCTTCTTCAGAGCTTCACGCTGTCTAACAGCTGCCTCCTTGAGTTTCAAGGTGAAGTAGCAAGCAGAGAAGCGATCGTTAATAATAGCAATTGGCAAGGCCAAGACAAGGATCCCAGATAATATACACATGAAGGCCACAATTTTGCCTGTGGTGGTGTCTGGTCTAATGTCCCCATAGCCCACGGTAGTCATAGATGTTGTGGCCCACCACCATGCACAAGGGACACTTGTGAATGTTGTGTCTGGAATACTTTGCTCAGCAAAGTATTCAACGGTTGAAAATATGGAAATTCCCACAGACAGAAATAGGAGCAGCAGGCCGACTTCCTCGTAACACTGGGTGATGGTCATCCCAAGAGAGCGCAAACCTGCAACGGAACAACTGCTGTCAGTCACTGGCGCCCCTCTTCCCTTCTCCCTTTCCTTCTCCCGCTTTTCCATCCACCCACAAATATGCATGCCACACCTACTTTGCCCCAAGACTGGGCAATGTTTGGGGAGCCTGAAGATGATTAAATCATAATTGAACAGATCACAGTCTAGTTGATGGGTCCAGGAGGAGAGAATAGAGACAAGCACAGTTAGACATCTTCATTCACCTCAATAATTATTAAACTCCTACTCTTTATATACATGAAAGTGAGAGGTAAGACTAACAGAGGGTATAGAAGCCTAAGCAGAGGGTATAGAATACACATTTTGTACTTTATACAAAAAGAGGCCTTTGTAGTGTCACCTGTAGATGGCTCACTTGGCCAGACCTGCATCTCAATGTACCATTCATTTCAGCACCTCTATCTAATACCAGTTTTATGGGATTTTAAAAAAATATTTTATGTATTTTTTTTTAACTTTCCTGGTAAAGTTTAATACAATCAGGAGCCTCACCATTTGAAAGCCAGAGGCAGAAAGATGTATATCATGACAATGAGGTGAAGCAGCAGAAGCATTGGCCATTATGACAAAATCCACCGGAAGGCATCACATGTACGGTCAGGGGAGATTCTTAGTGGTGTAGAAGAAGGAAGTTCTTGAATTCTCAAGATACTGAAGTCCTAGTCCTTAATGCCAGAGTTATTGGGAACTACCTTCCTTCAGTACATACTAATTCTGATTTCCTCTAAGATGATAGACTCAAGTAGAGAATCTTTCTCCACTGCAAAGGGTATGAGAACTCACTCACTATGAGCCCTTAAAGAACTTCTCATTGCTAGCTCTGAGCATTTGTTGAGCCCTGGGAGACAGACCCAGGAGAGTCCAATTTCAATTTCATCTGTGAAGAGACCTAGCCCTGGGGAGTAAGTGCCCATTACAGAAGGAGGGTTTGGTATTTATCCTGCTTAATACTAGAGAGATGTTTCATAACTACATTTTGAAGTCATCTCAACCTGATGTCACAATCATACTGCCTCAGAAGTCTAAAGCAGTACTTCTCAGAATCTTTTTTGTTGTTTTTATTCTCTCACTGAAGACTACTTGAAATGCATTAACATACTATTCATGCTCTCATTATTTTGAATTTTGCTCTTCAAATTTTGAGATGTTCTTGAATTATTAACCAGCTATTTTTGAAGAGCAATGAATACGAATTTTCAAGTCTAACTTCAAAATAATATATTTCACAATACCTTTATAATACCTTTTTAGAAGACTGGCTTTGATATGTCTATATGAAATTATGTTTCTGAAATAAATTGACAACACATGTGAAGAAGCCTATTATTAGTCTGGGGAACCTCTTTCTAATGTTCGAAACAATTTTTAAAAGAAATACAAAATAGGTGGAATTTCTACCATGTTATAACTCAGGTAACCCTCCAAACTCAATCTAAGGGATTATGCCATTTTGCAGATAGGGAGTTTGAAGTACAGAGAGGTAAAGTATCTAGTAAAAAGCTACAAATCAAAATTAAAACCGAGGCTGTCTGGTGAAATTTTTCCATAAACCTCTCATTTTTCAGTTGTCATTAGTACATGAGGACACAAATCATCAATGTTTATATCTTACCAAATGTAAAATTGAGATAAAATTGTCAAATCCTTATGCAATTCTTCATGTTTTTGAGTAAATTAAGGCTTTCTTAATACTTTATATTTGTTTTAGAACTGAGAAAACCGACACAGAAGTGACATTGTGAAAATTACTGTTATTTTCTTTTTTCGTTCTTTTGGGAAAAATGTAGTCTTTATTGGGTGTTTTAAAATTGAGTCTTGTGAAGAGTTTATAAATACTCGAAGAAAGCATCCTATTATGTATGTCAGAAAACAAAGAGGGGTACTTAAAAAAGTTGTTGGAAACCCCGTTATCAAATCCTGTTATGTGGGACTAACTAGGAAAATCCATTACCCGAATTATATTAGGACGGATCCTAATTGCCCCAAGATGAGGGCAAAAAACATATCAGAGGTTAATGTATATTTTTAGGGATAGAAAACTACCATCAATTATCTTTTAGGTAGCTAGTCAGGCATATGTGTAGGGGCAAAAGCTGATAATAGGAATCTCTAGCTAACTTGTTTGCACTAACATGTATTTGCATTAATACGTATTATATCACTATGGCATCATACTCCAGGGTTTCTCAAAGTGTGGTCTAAGAACCAACTACATTAAAGTCACTTTTTAAAATCTAGGTTCCTAGGTCAAACCTCAAACTTTCTGGGTGTTGAGGCTCAGAATCTGCATTTCAACAGGCTTGTCTGGGGATTCTTACTTTCATGAAGGTCTGACATAAGGGAACTCATACGTACTCTAGACACCCAAGAGCTGAAGGGTCAATCCCTAAGAACTACTCCCCTGAGAGATGGGAAAATAATCTTTACTCAGTCTGTGTGATTTCCACTGACATAGACTATCATTTTCATGCAGTGTGTGTGCGTGTGTGTGTGTGTGTGTGTGTTGTGGAGAGATTTTTCTAGGAAATATTCATTAGGTTTTGAAAGGCTTTATGACACACAGAAAGCTAAGTAATTCCCATCACCCTGTCTTTCTCTCTCACTATGTACATCTCACTTTAGGGACAAGACAATTTTCAGATAGTATATAAAGCATGTAGTTAATGTCTTCTACTTTCTTTTAAAGTAAAATATTTCCGTTTCTTCAAAAACTTTAGAAAGGCCAGCAGTGCGTGGGCATTTTTCTTTCTGGATGGCCAGAGAAGGCTCTGCAGGGCTGACTTTCCCTTCTGCCAGAGAACATACGGGGCAAATACTTCTTGGGCACAGAAGATAAACTGGCTTATGTCATTATAACGATACATGGAACTTATGTGTATCTATTTATGCATCATTTATGCACATTTTGTCTAGAACCTTGTAAAGGCAGAGAGTATTTAATTTTTGTACATCTGAGTGTAGGATGCAAATAAATTGAGTTAACAAATGATCAAATTGTCTTTCTCTTATGGAAAGTGTATGGAACGCATCTTGTCTTCTATCATTGTAATAAGAACTTCAAAGTTTTGCTTCCCAAGACCTCTTTAGAGGGCACGGTTGGGTAAAGCAGGGGAATGGGTAATCAGAAATATCAATCCAAAGTCAATTCCCTTGTACTACGGTCAGCTTTGATGTTCACACACAATGACAATTAAAAGGCAGCAATGAAATCTGAGTACCTGTAGAATGTCTGCCCAGCTTGAGCATGCGCAGAGCCCTGAGCAGTCTCAAAACCTGGACTATGCGGCCCACATTTTCCAGCTCCTGTGTGGTCTGGCTCCCACTCAGGCTTTCCACCAGGAGAGTGATGTAGAAGGGCAAGATGGCGAGGAGGTCTATGATGTTTGGCACCTTTCTCAGGAAGCGGCATCTGTCCCGCACGCAGAGGAAGCGCAGGACAAACTCCCCGGTGAACCAGCTGATGCACACATACTCCAGGATCTCCAGAAGCTGCAGGTCCAGCCAGCTTAACTCAGCTGACATCAGAGCCATGTTGACAATGGACACCGCAACGAAGATGATGGAGATGACCCCAAAGATTCGGGCAGCTGTGGAAGACCCAGGTTTCTCCAGGATATTCCAGAGCTTCTGTCGGACAGTGGGGCAAGGGCCTTGTGAGAAGTCCTGCTCACTCTCGTGTTGACTCTCCTGGTCTTCTGCGTCCTTCTTGAAGTCTAAAGTTTCACTCAGCTCCTTTCTTCTGAAGTATCTTTTAGAGAAGACAACTTGGTGATTAGTCAAACTTTAAAAAATTACAGTACAAGATAATCAAACTTGGGAGGTCATACTTTTCATTTCAGTAAAACACAGAACATGTCTATTCACCTTTTATTCAGGTTGTCTTTTGCCCACAGTATTCAAAACTTTCCCTTGGGAATATGATTTTTAAAAATGACATTTCTTGGTAGAAGTGTACACAAAAGAAGGATTTATACATATCAGAGCTACTTTGGATTAATGCAATTTATTACCCATTTTTTTTTTTTTTTTGGTAGCAAGAACAGATGTTTGCCATATGGATCTTTTCTGTGAGTGAAGAAAAGGTATTTGTGAAGAAAGGGTGGCAATAGCAGGATAATGGAAAATCACTCTCGAAGTCCCAGAATCATTGGCTCAAGAGATCAATGTTCTATAATCTGTATTTAAAAGCAGTTCTCCATCCAAGTTTTTCAGAGTTCATGTTCTAGGTTTGCTAAACAATAATGCCCTACACCAGAAGTTTTATCACTGCACGTGCATCTTTTGAAGCATGGTTTTCCTCATTCATTTATTCATTCAAGGACTGTTTTCTATGGGACTGAATTTTCTCACTTTATACGTTAAGTTAGTATACATACACTCACTTAAAAAAGGGGTCCAAAAAGTTCCATCCCACGGTGGCTTAGACCCTTTCAAGTCCCCTACCGTCAACCCACGTTTCAGTTCTATAGTGGCCACAGTTCTGAGGCCTGGGTTCAGCAAAGCTCGAGTAAAGCTTCCAGTCTTCCCCTGAGCCTCCCTCTCCCTGAGCACTGCGCCCGCCTCCCCGCCCCGCCTCCGCGCGCCTCCAGGTACCTGTCCCTGCAGCAGGAGTCGATGTTGAGCTCGTCGATGCCCCAGTACTGGATCTCCTGAAGAAAGGAGAGCGCGCACAGCTGCTCCATGACGTGCAGGCGGCCCGTGCGGTAATAGTGCAGGACATAGCGGAACGCCTGCGAGCTGCGGTCGAAAAAGTACTCGTTGTCCACCGGGTTAGCGTCATCGCAGAGCTCCAGAGGACTGGGCACGGCGGCCAGTGCCCCAGGGCGGCGGTAGGAAGCCACCACCACCGCCAGCTTGCCGAGGCGCGTGTGCGGGAAGCAGGACAGCGCCTGCTGCGAGAGCACGAAGCGACTGCCGCCCACGTTGACAGTAAAGCAGTCCCCGAGAGCCAGGGGCTCCCCTTCGCCCTCGCTGCAGAAGACACTGGACTCCAGGGAGGCCAGGGAGCCGCTGTCCAGCGGCGAGTCCAGCGCTCGGCTGCAGAGAGGCACCTCCATCCTGGCCGCCGCGCTAGCGCCGCACAGCTGGGGACACACGGGAAGCCTCAGTCCTGAGAGGGCGGTGGCAGGTCCTCCGGAGGCGGCCGGGGTTTCCCGGGTTCCCGAGGGGCGTGCTTCCACTGGCTTACCCCTACTTTCTCCACCCCCTGAGTCTGTTCCTCCTCCCGCCGCTAGGGAGCTGATCGTGCGCGGTAGCGGCGCACGAGTGGAGAGCGAGGAGACTGGGAGGCGGAGAGGGGTGGCGCTAAGAGAAAGTCAGGTGGAGTCAAGCCCAGCACGGCCCCAGGACGCCTGCGGTCGTCGCGGTCCTTCTTAAATGTGCGCACCCCTAGCCCAACTTTTAATTGAGAGCCCAGCCCGGAAGGTGCACAGACTGAGTGCCTCCTTAGTTGGGGGTGGAGGGGTTGGGAAAGGGAGGGAGGAGGGAGATGTAGAGTGGGGGAGGAAGAAGAGCATATGACACCCGGCGGAGAGAAAGCACGGGGGATGGGGCACGCGCTCCTCCCGCAGGACCCCCAAACAGAAAGTTCAGCCCGCAGAGGAAACGGTGCCTGGGGCCGAGTCCTTTCCAGTCTGACGGTTTATCTCCCTCCCTGGTCTATTACAGCGTCTTCACTGACTTCTCGGGTGTTCGCTGGGGTTGCAGCACGCGGTGCAGGGTGCTCTGGGCAACCGGGCTGTGCCATTTCCCCCCAATCACACGAATTCTAGTCCGTCACTCTGTCCATTTTCCTCACAGTCCAAACCTCCCTCCTTAGGTTTGACCTCCTGGTTGAGAAATAAGGATAATTAATGGTGACTTTTAAATGAAGTACCAGTGAGTCAGTAAGAACCAGGGATCACCACTGCCAGCTGCCATCCTGTCGGGTGTCCACCGCGTTCTGAAGCACTTTGCGCCCTTCTGTCCTTACAAGTTTCCCCGAGAGCAAGTGTTCGGGGCAAAGTGGAACTCTCATTCTA